TATCTATCTATCTATCTATATCTATATCTATATATATATATATAGATATATATATATCATACTCCACTCATCTATCAGTTTGTCATAATGTGGTAGCTTATGTGTTGCTGTGAGGTTGGAAGCTACATCACTGGTATTTTAAATACCAGCAGGGTCACCCATGGTAGACAGGTTTCAGCAGACTTTACAGACTAAGACAGACTCAGAAAAAGAAAGGGGCCATCCACTTCTCACAGAATTGGCCAGTGAAAACCTTATGAAACACTGTCTGATATATTACTGGAAAAATTTGTGAATAGCCCTGAAACATTGTCTGAAATAGTGCTGGAAGAGGAGCACCTCTGGTCGGAAGGCACTCAAAACACCAATGGAAAAGAACTGGCTCCTCAAAGTATAGTTCACCTTAATGACAAGGATGGAGTAAAGCTTTCAGGACCTCCATTTGTTGATGTGGCATGACTCAAAATGCGAAAAAAACAACTGCAAATACCCATCAATAATTGGAACATGGAACGTACAAAGTATGAATGTAGGAAAATTGGAAGTTGTCAAAAAGGAAATGGAACACATAAAGATCAATATCCTAGGCATTAATTAGTGAGCTGAAATGGATTGGTTTTGGCCATTTTGAATCAGACAATCATATGATCTACTATGCTGGGAATGACAAATTAAAGAGGAATAGCATGGCATTCATTGTCACAAAGAATGTTTCAAGATCTATTCTGAATGACAATGCGGTCAGTGATAGGATAATATCCATACGCCTACAAGGAAGACCAGTTAATACTACTATTATCCAAATTTGCACACCAATCACCAAAGCCAAAGATGAGGAAATTGATGATTTTGTTTTTGAAATTGACCAAATATACAAGCAAGATGTATTGATTATTACTGGTGATTGGTATGCAAATGTTGGAAACAAAGAAGAATCACCAGTGGTTGGAAAATATGGCCGTGGTGATGGAAATGATGCAGAAATCACATAATAGAATTCTGCAAGACCAACAACTTATTCATCGCAAATACTTTATTTCAACAACATAAATGGTGGCTATATATGTGGACCTCACCAGATAGAATACATAAGAATCAGATTGACTACATCTATGGCAAAAGGCAATGGAAAAGCTCAATATCTTCAGTCAAAAAACAAGGCCAGGAGGTGACTATGGAATGGACCATCACCTGCTCATATAAAAGTTCAAGTTGAAGCTGAATTCAATTAAAAGTCCACAAGAGCCAAAAGATGACCTTGATTATATTCCACCTGAATTTAGAGACTATTCAGGAACAGATTTGATGCACTGAACACCAACAACTGAAAACCAGATGAGTTGTGGGATGACATCAAGAACATCATACATGAAGAAAGCAAAAGGCCATTAAAAAGACAGGAAAGGAAGAAAAGACCAAAATGAATGTCAGAAGAGACTGGGAAACTTGCTCTTGAATGGAGAGTAGCTAAGGCAAATGAAAGAAATGACAACATAAAGGACTGAACAGAAGATTGCAAAGGGTGGCTTGAGAAGACAAAGTCAATTATTATAATGAAATGTGCAAAGACCTAGAGTTAGAAAACCAAAAGGGAAGAACATGCTTGGCATTTCTCCAGCTGAAAGAATTGAAGAAAAAAATTCAGCCTCAAGTTGCAATATTGAAAGTTTCTATGGGCAAAATATGGAATGATACAGGAAACATCAAAAGATGGAAGGAATACAGAGAGTCACCATACCAAAAAAAATTGGTCAATGTTCATGTATTTCAGGAGGTGGCATATGATCAAGAAACAATGGTATTAAAAGAGGACATCAAAGCTGCACTGAAGCAACTGGCAAAAAACAAGGCTCCAGGAATTGACAGAATATCCATTGAGATGTTTCAGCAAATGGATGCTGCACTGGAGGTGCTTACTCATCTATGCCAAGAAATTTGGAAGACAGATACCCTGGTCAACTGACTGGAAGAAATCCATATTTGTACCCATTCCAAGCAAAGGTGATCCAACAGAACGTGGAAATTATGGAACAATATCATTAATATCACACACAAGTAAAATTTTTCTGAAGATAATTCAATAACAGTTGTAGCTGACAGAGAACTTCCAGAAATGCAAGCTGGATTCAGATGAGGATGTGGAACAAGGGATATCATAGCTGATGTCAGATGGATCTTGGCTGAAAGCAAAGAATACCAGAAAGATGTTTACTTGTGTTTTATTGACTATGCAAAATCATTCGACTGTGTGGATCATAACAAATTATGGATGACATGGAGAAGAATGAAAATTCCAGAACACTTCATTGTGCTCATGAGGAACCTGTACATAGACCAGGAGACTGTCATTCGAACAGAACAAGGAGATACTGCATGGTTTAAAATCAGGAAGGCAGTACGTAAGGGTTGTATCATTTCACCATACTTATTCAATATGTATGCTGAGCATATAATCCAAGAAGCTGGACAATATGAAGAACACAGTATCACGATTGGAGAAAGTCTCACTAACAACCTGCAATATACAGATGATACAACCTTGCTTGCTGAAAGTGAAGATAACTTGAAGCACTTACTGATGAAGATTAAAGACTACAGTCTTCAGTATAGATTACAACTCAACATAAAGAAAACAAAAATCCTTACAACTGGACCAATAAGCAGCATCATGATAATGGAGAAAAGATTGAAATTGCTAAAGATTTCATATTATTTGGTTCCATATTCAACACCAATGGAAGCAGCAGTCAAGAAATCAGACAACATATTGCACTGGGCAAATCTGCTGCAAAAGACCTCTTTAAAGTGCTGAAGAGCTAGGATATCTCTTTGAAGACTAAGATGCACCTAACCCAAGCCATGGTATTTTCAATTGCCTCACATATGCATGTGAAAGCTAGACAATGAATAAGGAAAACCAAAGAAGAGATGATGCTTTTGAGTTGTGCTGTTGGTGAAGAATACTGAAAGTACCATGGACTGCCAGAAGAATTAACAAATCTGTCCTAGAAGAAGTGCAGTGAGAATGCTCCTTGGAAACAAGAATGGCAGGAATTTGTCTCATCTACTTTGGTCATATTGTCAGAGAAACCATTCCCTGGAGAAGGATATCATGCTTGGCAAAGTGGAGGGTCAACAAAAAAATAAAAAAGGAAGTCCCTCAACGAGATGGATTGACACAGTGGCAAGGATTGTGAGGCTGGTACAGGACCAGGAAGTGTTTTGTACTATTGTACACAGGGTTGCTATGAATTGGAGCCAACTCGATGGCCCCTAACAACAATATATATGATATACATATATATAGGTTTCTCCTGTTATCCAGGGAGCTCTGGTAGCACAGTGCCTAAAGGCACTTGACTGCTAACCAGAAGGCTGGTGGTTCAAAGCCACCAGCCACTCCTCGGAAGGAAGGTTGGGCAATCTACTTCCATAGTGATACTGCCTCGGAAACCCAAGGAGGGGTCGCTGTGAGTCGGGTCGACTCGATGGCACATAACGACGAACAACAACTTATTATCCAAAAGAAGAGTGTTCCTATGAAAGTTTTTGTAAGACAAAAGGCATAAAGCAAAGGAGTAATTACCATTAATTCATATGATAATTTTTTTAGCATTCGCAGACCCCAAATACAACCTACAAAATCATACCAAATAACATAAAACCTAAAATAACACTAACATTTAGTGTTCACAGACACAGTTCAAAGTTATGTATTTAAATTCGACCAATTCTTCCTCTCATCCTTTTCCTTTTTTTGCATAAACTATAGCTGAGACTTGAGCCACTCTAAACCTGGAGCAGAGATGACTAACCATAACTTACAGTCAAGGAAAAATTGCATAAACAGAGGAGAGAAAACAACAGAGATAGAGTGAGAGACAAAAGAACAGTCCTAGACCAAGTAGAAGATATAATAGATATGACTTGATGTAAGTTAAACAAAAATATTTAACGGCCTTTGAGTATTCTCTTAACTACAAAGAGTCTGCAAGTTTATACCCTGTTTATTTTTAAAAACAGCAATTTAAAATAATGCTTTTTAAACTAGAGTCATCATCATTAGTCAAAATAAATACAAACTCACTTCATCTGCTTTTACAGAAGCCACTGCCAATTCCTTCTCTTTCACTGCAAGATCCTGAGAGAGTTTAGCAACGGATTCACTTGCCTCCATCAGCTTATCAAGACCTTAGAAAATATGATAAGCAAGCAGTTTACAAATACATTCCTTTGCTGGGTATGTGAATATATGTCATGTAAGTACAAACACAAGATGATTCTTTATGAATAAAGCTGTATATGTTTTAGGAACCATGATACTGACAATATTTCTGAGAGTTTCAACAGAGGGTGCAGTAAGTAGCTCTGATTGAAGAATATTATCTACATGCTTTTAAGGGAAAGTCTCAGTGCTATATTGGATAAGATTGTCTTAGCGAGGAAACTTACTGGGCAAACATATGATCTCTTTGGCTTTGTAAACAGTGTTTAAGGATCGTTTTTTTGTTTTGTTTTGTTTTTGCCTTGGAATTATATTGCAGCTGAGGTGGCAATAAGGCAGATAATATATTAACAGTTTTTGTAGTTCTCTAAAAATAAAATAATTGCTAAAACTTGTGTCACTGACTCTGGGATTTTTAGTACTGCAGAGAAAAATAATTGGTTAACCGAGTTTCTCCCATTCCAACTGGATTCTAGACAGTTAGTGGTCTAGAAAGTTTGTGATGCTAGGGGAGAAAAGAAACATCTGGGTCTCTGGGGGAAGAAGCACTGATTTGTACGTTAGCCAGTTTCCATGGTGTGAATACTCCCACTCTGGCTGATTTAAGCTACCAAAAGATTCTCAGTAGCACCCTATCATGTATTTCCACCACACAGATGCCTTAGATATAAATCACCCTGAGAATCTGACTCAATGGCAGTGAGTTTTGAGAACATTAAAAATGGTAAGATATAGTAAAAGAATAATAATTAGGAAGTGATGAGTTTTGAGTACCTGTCATCTTTATTCTTAATGGAATTTATTTAATTGTAAGTTTATATGATGTAATTCTACTAAAGGCTGTGTTTAACAACCAGCTTCTAAAAATCTTAAAAATGTAACAATCAGCAGTCAGGGGCCAGTGCAAGCCAACTTCAGCGCACCAGTAGTTTTAGAACATCACACAGAACACTGCAAGAGAGCCATGAGAAAAACAGAAGGACTTTCTTTCACAGTATTTCCATCATCGTTAGAACTTCACAGACCCTGAAATTAGTTATACTACATGACCAAGTGATGAGGAGGTGAAGTGAAAAGAAAGCACTGAAGTGTGTTCTCCACCACCCATATGTTAGTTTGTCATACTGTGATGGCTTCAGTGTTGCTGTGATCTGGAAACTATACTGCTAGTGTTTCAAATACCAGCAGCATCACCCATGGGGTTGTCATACTGTGATGGCTTCAGTGTTGCTGTGATCTGGAAACTATACTGCTAGTGTTTCAAATACCAGCAGCATCACCCATGGGGGACAGGTTTCAGTGGAGCTTCTAGTGTTAGCTTTCAGCCTTAGCTTCCAAACTACAACAGACTAGGAAGAAAGGCCTGGCCATCTACTTTTGAAAATTAGCTAATGAATAGATCACAACAGAATACTGACCAATGTAGAATATTGACCATTGTAGTGCTGGAAGATTAGCCCCCTAGATTGGAAGGCACTACACACTAACCACAACAATGGATTCAAAAATACCAATGGTCATAGAGATGGTACAGGAGCAGGTAACATTCAGTTCTGTTGTACACAAGATTGTCATGTGTCAGAGTGGATTTGATGGCGGCTAACAATAACAACAAAGCAACAAAGTGTTTTGGATCGTTTGGGTCGCATGCTTTGTGGACATATAATCTTTTCCATTTATACTTTACCTGGTGATCTACTTCTGAAAATAGCCATTGGAAACCCTATGGATCACAACCAACTGTGGGGATGGGAGGCACAGGACAGGGCAGTGTTTCTTGCCTTTATGCACCATAAGGTGGGGTCCAACTTGATGATAGCAAACTACAACACAGCAAAGTTTTATACAAATCAAGAGAAATCACGTTGTTATTGTCGAGTCGTTTCCTACTCATAGCGACCCCATGCACAGCATTATGAAACACGGCCCGATCCCGTGCCAGCTCCATGATCCCTGCTGTACTTGAGCCCATCATCGCAGCCACTGTGTCAATCCATCTTATTGAAGGCCTCCCCCTCTTTCGTTGACCCTCTACCCTACCAAGCATGACATCCTTCTCCAGGGAATGGTCCCTTCTGACAACATGACCAAAATAGGTGAGACGAAGTCTGGCCATTCTCGTTTCCAAGGAGCATTTCGGATGCACTTCCTCTAGGACAGGTTAGTTCTTTTAGCAGTCCATGGAGATCAAAAACTGTTAGTTAGCACTCCAGAGCTGACTTTTCCCCTATCTCTATCAGCCGCTCCGTGACTACAGTGACTCACTCACTGCCCAACGCAGTGGACCCAGAGTTGAAGGAGCTGAGAGAAATGATTCTAAAGAAAAAATAGGCACCTTGGTTTACATTTTCTTCTGCTCAGAGTTTTCCGACAAGTTACAAAGGGTCTCAGGGGCATCACTCAAAAATATTCAAATATAAAAGTTAGTATTTTATTATCAAACAGAACAACAGCCACCAACAAAATATTAGATAGGATCACTATCAAACAAACCCCCTGATAGACTACATTCTTCTTACCAATATTCATTCGTTCAGCTTGTTCATTGATATATTTCACCTTTTCAGTATAAATGTTTTTATAGCCATTTATAAATGAAAGATATGACTTTGGGGTCACATGTGCTCTTCGGCGGTATCTGAAAGTAGAACATAAAAGCTCTCTTTGTATCTGTCATTTTGGTACAGCCCCAAGACATATCAATACAGATGTCCTTGTTGTAAAAGCAGTGCAGTCCTGCACAGTGATTCATTAGAGGCAGGAATTGTGACTGGCTTCCCTAGCCGTGAGGTGGAAACTAAATCCTGTCTGATGGGGTCTTTGACTTGACCCTCACCATCTATCTGGACTTCTATTGCCTCATCTGGAAAACTGAGGAGAATCTCTGCCCTACACCCCACAGAGTTTTGTATCAAATAAGGTAACTTTAAACTGTGTAAACTTTAATTTGTGCTGTGATACATTTTCATACATCTAATACAGAGGCAAAATCTAATATCTCCCCAGAGTCCTAGATCTTCCTTGAAGTCAGGCACCCACACTTGATTTCAAACATTCTGATCCACTATGGGCTTGATGCCAGTAATTATATTCAGCCATAGAAATTAATAATAAAAAAGAAAATTTTATACAGAAAAAACTCAGATGAAAGAAGAGCTCTTCACATACTATAAAGTGATTTTACCTTTTATGGTAATTTTTTTTTCGACTTTTGGAGTTCTGAAGAATTTTCAACATTTTCAGAGTTTTACAGACTTCGGCATATATGTGATTCTCCTTATAGAGTTATATACATATTACATTCAGAATAACCCTCTACATATTACATTCAGAATAACCCTCTACAACTTAAGAGGATATGAAATTTTCAGAAAATACACAAAAATTTAAAATAAATAAACAGGCTTTTATAGCTGTATGAAGTTAAAAATGTATTTCCACAGATGCAATAGCAGGAGGAGTTCAAGTTAGGTAGAAAGAAAAATCTTACTAATTGTGGTAGTTATGGTTGTATGTCAACTTGGCTGGGCCTGGTTGAGTGGCTGGGCAGCTGGTGGTAGTTATTCCCCATGATGAGACTGGCAGTCATCCATGGTAGGATCTACCACAACCAGCTGAGTAGCTATTTTAAGGATGTGGTCTGCTTCCCATATATAAGCAGCAGCTTTGGGAATGGTCTCTAGCTTATGGCATGCTTGAACCCTGCATGTAGCCGTGTCATTGTTCAGCAGCCTGCCATGCTCTACCAACCTTGGGACTTTAAATGGATTTGAATTAATGGCCTGTCTTGTGGTTTGGTAATAACGAAACTGTCCCTTTTTACTTGTTGACCTTGGGTTTGTCAGCCTCAGCAGCCAGCAGCTGTCTGAGTGAAGAAAAGCCTCCAGTTTCAGTGGGTGGGAGCAGAGGCAGAGCCGAAGCCTAAAGTCGAGGGGTTTCACACAGCCCCTAGAGCCTGGCACTTGGAACTTGGACTTCTAACCTCCAGAAATTGTAAGAATAAACTCCTGTTTGTTAAACTCATCCCATTTCTGTCACAGGAATATTAAATATATTAATATATTAAATATTAAATTATATTAAATATGATATATATTAAATATTCCATTACCTAGTGCAAACTAGGTAACCAAAACACTAATAGTAAAAATAAATACATGCTGATTTACTGAGAGAAGCTGAGAGATTATCTAGAAATCTTTCAGAGAGGTGGCTTTAAGTAAAGGAAAGGGATCAGGAGACAGAAACTTTTGTGATATGGACCCCCCAGAAAGTTGATGAAAGTGCTACCCAGGATCTCTATGCAGAAAAATAGGCATAACCTTTCTAGGGGGTCTCTGTACCCCCCTGAAAGGAGTCTTCCGGTGAAGGCCATTAGCCCACTGCTTGGACATCAATGTTAACCCACCTTTATCCACGTTTGTCAATTTTATACATTGATTATCATGCTTTGGGGTAAAAAGAAGTATCTTTTCGAACTGTTAGCACTGGCTTTCACATAATAAACACCATTATGCAAAAATGCTTTTAGTGAGTATCCTTTCCAACAGTCAATTAAAATTGTGTTTCATAACTACTTGGCATGAAAACATCAATAAGACTTAAGCAGTGCAAATTCAAAACCTCGATGTTCCCTTAACATAAGGTAATAAAGAAACTTTAAAACAGTGTTCTTCTTTAATCTCAATGAATAATACATTTGAATAAGAAACTAATTTTAAATCATTTATAATGAATTAGTTAAGTCATTTTCAAAACAAAATTAAGCAAATGAAATAAACTGACTCATTAAGCATCTGTTACTTTGAGGTCTGGCAGAGAAAAAGGTATTTAAGTATGGACACTCATTAATTCTTAAATCTCATTGATTTATCATCTTTTCAATGCATGACCACTAGATAAAGCAAAACAAAACAAAATCTAAGTGAAACTGGGACGTAATGTTCAATCAACATGAGGAGTCTTTTACTGGGTTATTAGATTTCATTCCTCTTCAGAGTGAACTTTTGAGGCTCTGTAGTCATAGTGCTTATACGATGACACTTACCTTTGGAAATAATGTTCACAGTTCTCTGAAACCATGTCATGAAAGAGGCCCATGGTTTCTACAACTTGCTTTTTAATTTCGCTCGAACAGACAATATTGTAGCCTGAAAGGAAATAAGAGGCCACCGCTATGAGAGCCTCCTTTGGCCAGCGACTAAACCAGTCCATGGTGCACCCTGATATCAAACCAGGAAACTTCAAAGAACGGGCACGGAACTTCTCGCCAACCTATTGATGGCAAGGCAAGAAGCATTAGAAACACAAAAGGATTGTTAAGTTAGCTAGAGAGAAAACTTACTATTACATTTATGCATTCTAAGGCAATAGTGCAACATCACTTTTTTTTTTTTTTTGGTCATCTTCTTGGGCTGGGCTGCATTAAATTAAGTGTCCAGGTCAAGGGGAATAATATTTCCACTCTCTTCTCTGTCCTAAGACTACATCTGCAATATTGAAATTGATTTGAGTGATACTTTGTAAGAGGAAATTAAAAGAACCAGAACCCTTCTAGGAAGAACTGACCAGGACAACGAACACTATGACAAGTGAGAGCATGAGAAGGAAGGAACGAGAGAGGTTTGTTCTAAAAGGAAACAGCTTGGAGAATCTGTAAATGCTTTCTCAAAATATTGGAAAGCTTCATGTGGGCGAGGGATCGGGTTCATTTTACAGGGGAGAATCCAAATCAGAAGGGAAAAGTATAAAGGCTAAATCCAAATCATTGTAAAAAAGAACTTTCAAGCAATTAATCCATTGCTGTTGAGTTCACTCTGGCTCATAGCAACCCTATGGGATAGTTGAATTACCCCAGAGGGTTTCCAAGGCTGTAATCTTTATGCAAGCAGACTGCCTCATCTTTCTCCCACAGAGTGAGTGTTTGGTGGGTTTGAACTGCTGATCTTTCAGTTAGCAGCAAAGCTGTGTCACCAGGGCTCCTTCCTGGCAATTAGACTATCTAAAAATTAGGTAGGCTGACTTTTAAGTTAGTGAGACCCCTAGAGCAGTGGTGTCTAACAGGACTCTCTGTGATGATGGACATGTTCTACATCTGTTCTTTCCAGTACAGTAACCACCAGCCACCTGTTTTGAGCACTTGAAATGAGGCTGTGAGACCAAAGAATTGAATTTGTACTTTAATTTTAATTAATTAAAATGTAAATAGAAAAACATGACTAATAGCTTCTATATGGGACAGTACAGTAAGCTACAAAATAACAAAATCTACATCAAGGACATTTTAGATGGTAGATGTATATTGGAGGTAGAGCTGGACAAGATTATATCACCAATCAAAAAACAATCTATATTTCTAAGTTATCAATTAAAATTGTAAGCTATGCAATCATTTCTAATAATATGACTATTTCAAATGATCCCACTTTGGTATAAGAGCTTGGTAAGTAGAGATTAGTGATTGTTGTTGTTGTTGTTATGTGCCGTCAAGTCGGCCCTGACTCATAATGACCCCTCCTTGGGTTTCTGAGGCTGTAGATTCTACGGAAGTAGATTGCCTCATCTTCCTTCCGAGGAGTGGCTGGTGGGTTTGAACCACCAGCCTTCTGGTTAGCAGTCAAGTGTCTTAGGCACTATGCTACCAGAGCTCCTGAGATTGGTGGTAGTAAAATATTAATTATTATTTAATGTTACAAATGTTAGCTTTTAAGAAAATCATCTCATCAAAGAAGGTAAACAATCTAAGGTAAACTCCTCCTACATAGATATAAATAAAATAAAAACTCACTGGAGAAAAGCAGAGAACAACATGCAGGTTCCTCCTTGCTCTAGAAATGAAATACTCATACAGATTATCAAAGGTAGGGGGGTGACGAGGTAGCTCCCTTTTCATCACTGATATCAGACTTTGAGTGATTTCATCCATTTCATCTCGTGCAAACAAATTGGAGATCTTTGAAGAATAGACAAGAAATTGTGCTGTGTTTTAATAGTTCCTCACAGTTACTTCTGCTGCTAAAGTCTGGTTCTCTCTTCACTTACACATATTTTCATTTTTTTTTTTTTTTTTTTTTTTTTGCTTCTCCACAATCAAACCCCTAGTTTGCCAGAGATTATCAAGAGTGCAACTTTCTACTAAACAGCTTGGTCAGGATCAAATTTTGTCTCCCTTTGCTCAAATGTAGTGGTTGTTGTGGTTGTTGTGTGGTTGTTAGGTGCTGCCAAGTCAATTCTGATTCATAGTGATCCTATGTACAACAGAACAAAACACTGTCTGGTCCTGTGTCATCCTCACAATTGTTGCTATTTTTGAGCCCATTGTTGCAGCCACTATGTCAAGCCATCTCATTGAGGGTCTTCCCCTTTTTCACTGACCCTCTACTTTACCAAGCATGATATCCTTCTCCAGGGACTGGTCCCTTCTGACAGCATGACCAAAGTATGAAAGACCAAGTCTGGCCATTCTTGTTTCTAAGGAGGGACATATTGCACTGGGTAAAATCTGCTGCAAAAGACCTCTTTAACGTGTTAAAGAACAAAGATGTCACTTTGAAGACTAAGGTGCCCCTGAACCAAGCTACGGTATTTTCAATAGCCTCATATGCATGTAAGAGCTGGATAATGAATAAGGAGGACCACAGAAGAACTGATGCATTTGAATTGTGTTGGTGAAGAATACTGAAAGTACCATGAACTCCTAGAAGAAGGAACAAATCTGTCTTTGAAGAAGTACAGCCAAGATGTTCCTTAGAAGTGAGAATGGCCCAACTTTATCTCTCTTGCTCAAATAGCTGTCACCAGAAAACAATCTCCTTCACCACTTGAATCATCTATTTAAATTGTCCACTGCTGTCCTCTGTTCTTTAGCTAGTAGTCAATCTCCTCAACTCTGGCTCTAAGATACTGAGCTATCTTGTGCACAATTAGGCATCAATATACATTAATATGCAGGAAAGGGTTAATATAGTACACCTGACCTTCAGAAGGCTGTGCTGGCAGGCTGGTTGTTAGCATCTGAATAGACATCTGGGAACTTGGTTTTGGAGTGTTTCCTCCATTACTAATGGAGAAGGTTATTCTGCTGTGCCTAGACTGTATGTGCAAACAATGTGGTGTATCCATCTGCTTTCCTTTTAGGAATATGGAATTTTGTTAGCTGTGGCTAGGCAGGGAGTGAATCCAAAACTAAACTCACAGCCATCAAGTTTATTCCAACTCAGAACAACCCTATAGGACAGAGTAGAACTGTCCCATAGGGTTTCCAAGATTGTAAATCTTTACAGAAGCAGACTGCCTCATTTTTCTCCCATGGAGCGGTTGGTGGGTTCAAACTGTGCAATCTACCACTTACAGATGGAGCCTACATATGAGGTGCATTGGCCAGGAATTGAACTCAGGTCTCCAGCGTGGAAGGTAAGAATTATACCACTGAACCACACCAGAGACATAGATGAATACTTTGCTTCTCCTAGAATCAGTATGAAGACTGAAGAGGCAAATAAGGAATATTTTAAATTGACTAAAGCATCCAAAAAAAATCTAGAAGTGGGCAACATTATTTTCACAGGAATTTCAAAAAATTTACTAAATCTAATATGTAAATGCTTCCTAAAATCAAAAGTACGTGCTAACTGGCCCCATTCCTGAAGGGTTGCTGCTTTTTCTACTCAAATTTGACTTGAAATTTAATTTTTTAAAAAATTTTTATTGTGTTTTGGGTGAAATTTTATAAAGCAGATTCATTTTACATTCAATAGTTCATATACATTTTGTTTTGTGACACTGGTTACATTCCTCACAGTGTAACAGCTCAGCTCCCACTTCCCCCCTGTGGTTACCCTTTCCCTGTGTCCTTCCTGCCTATGCATTCCTTCCTCCCTACCATTCTCCCTGTGAAAATGCTGCCTTCTGATCTCCCAGGGTTGACTGTTCTAAGGAGTGCATCTCCCTGGTGTAGGTGTTCAGCTAGTAGGCCTGTCTATAGTTTGGATGAAAGTTAAGCCACAGGAATGAATTCAATTCCAGGCCCAAAGGATGACTCAGAACCATAGTCTTGGGGCTTTCACCAGTCTCTATCAGACTGTTTTTGTTTGTTTGTTTTGTTTTGATGATTTTGTTTTGTTCCATATTTTTACTTGAAATGCACTTTCTCTGTATTTTGAGACCCACCTCCCCTGAAGATAGCAAGTTGTTAAGATATTCTAGAAATGCCTCGTCTTTTATTTCATTGTCAGTAAAGATGAAGGTGATGCCTTTTCCATCAGCACCAGCAACTTTGTACAGAAATTTTAAGTCCTCTGTTAGATTACTCACATTGTAAGACCTAAAAAGAAAAATGGTAGGAATTTTATTATTTTTATTTATATTGTGATTTGGGTGAAAGTTTACAGCAAATTCATTTTCCATACAACAGTTCATACACATTCTGTTTCATGACATTGATTGCAATCCCCATAATTCAACAGCTCTCTTTCCACTTTCTGTGGTTACCTATTTCCTGTGTCCTTCTTTCCTAAGCATTTCTGCCCTCTGAGCTATCCTTCTATGCAAATACTGCCCTTCTGATCTCCTATTGCTGATTGTTCTAAGGAGTGTACCTACCTGGTGTAAAAGTTCACCTTATATGCCTGTCTATTGTTAAGCTGGAAGCCACAGGAGTGAGTTCAATTCCAGGCCCGAAGGTCACTAAAGTCCATAGTCTTGAGGGTTTCACAAGTCTCTATCAGACCAGTAAACCTGGATCATTTTTCTGATTTGAGTTTTGTTCCACATTTTTCTCCCACTCTATCCAGGATCTCCTGCACTGATCCCTTTCTAAGTGGTTGACAGTGGTCATCTGGTACCATCTAGTTCTTCTGGTCTCATGGTCATGTAGGCTAAGGTTCGCATGGTTCCCTAGTCCCTTGGACTAATTGTTTCCATGAATCTTTTGTTTTCTTCATTCTTCTTTGCTCTGAATGAAAGGACACTAATTGTTGCATCTAGATGGCCGCTTGCAAACTTTTAAGACCCTAGTCACTACTCACCAAAGTTGTTGTTGTGTTGTTGTGTGCCGTTGAGTCGGACCCGACTCATAGCGACCCCTCCTTGGGTTTCCGAGGCAGTATCACTACGGAAGTAGATTGCCCCATCTTCCTTCTGAGGAGTGGCTGGTGGGTTTGAACCACCAGCCTTCTGGTTAGCAGTCAAGTGCCTTAGCCACTATGCTACCAGAGCTCCCACTCACCAAAGTAGGATATAGAAAAATGTTTTTGTGTAGTATGTTATGCCAATTGAACTTGATGTGACCATGGTCCTAAGCCCACAGGAGGCCCAATATGGTGGTTGGCTGTAGCTAAGAAATTATCATTACTTTGCTCCTATTTATATGGACATTCTTAAAGCACATACAAATATGTATGTATAAATATCATCTGCCAAACTTATATATGGTCATAGGTATATTCCTTTTTGCCTAAATATACCTGATCATTCAGCCTGTCTACCTACTTATCTACCGTAATGTTTGTTATTACTGATAATGCAGTATTGTGTATGTGAAAGTGTTCATCCTTGTTGTCTGTACCTCTTGTGCGCCTCTCTGTGTTTTCCTTTTCCTTAGTGTTACCGTGTTGGTCATTTGCTTTTAGTATATTGCCTTTCCCTTCACCAAAATCAGTACTTTTATTCTACCTATCCAGAAATTTTCCCTCTCCTCCTCTCTCATCCCTGGTAGCCAACAAGGAAAGATTCCTTCCATTTGTAAACCTTTCCTTGACTCTTTACATTAGTGGACTAATATAATATTTGTCGTTCTGTGATTGACTTATTTCACTCAGCATAGTGTCCTCCAAGTTCACCCATACTATAAGGTGTTTCCAATCATCCACATTATGAGGTGTTTCCCAAATAAAAAGTGGTAGGAAATTTAAAATTATAAAATATATAGTCATAATGTATCTTAAAACATGAAAATAACCCATGATAATTACAGCATAATCTGTATCTGCTCCAATATACCACAAGTCAAAGTGCCTGCTGGAAAACACAGAGAGTAGAGCTGAATACTTGTACATTATCTTTCAAACAACTTTTTTTTTTTTTTTAACGTGAAAAGTGAGAAATGGGGAATTTACCAGAAGTAATCTATGAAAAGTAATTCAGAATAGGGAAATGAACATTTTAGTCCCTGCAATCTGATTTTGCCCAAGTGAATATAAGGGTAGTATCTGAAACTTATCTGATGAGTTTGGATTGGTGAGAAATTCACAATGAATTATTAATAAAATTAGTGATAAATTATGTACAATGGCAAATTGCATAGCTCACTAAGTGAGCTAGATATAGAGCAAGCCTGAGAAAAAAAAGATGCATTATGGTATAAATAATAGAAATTTTATAGTTAAGTGGTTACAGATTACGAAAAGAGATCTTGGTCTTTGTTTTTCTGCTTACTCTGCTTCCTGCTAATTGTATATACTACCAGAAGCAATGGGATGTTTTATAAAAAAAGCAGATATTTTCTGGAGTGCCATATGTAAGTTCTGATGAAGAAATCAATGACAAAGACTACAAAAAAAAATCATCACTTGAAGGAGATTTTACAGTGCAAGTAATAGGAAGCTAAGTGAAAATCATAGGGTCTAATGGAAAGACTATGGGCTCTGAATTCAGAAGGACCTAGGTTCAAACCGACATTCTGCAGTATTAGAAAAGTTCTTTCACATTTCTCAACTTCTATTTCTTCATCTGCAAAAATAATGACCATAACTATTTATAAGGTTGGTGTGAGCAGTAGAGATGTTTTGTTGTTGTCTTTAGCTGACATCAAGTTGATTTCAATTCATGATGACCCCAGGTGTGCAGAGTAGAACTGTGACTCATAGAGACCCCATGGGAAAGAGTAGAACTTCCCAATAGGGTTTCCAAGGCTTCGTATCTTTACAGGAGCGGACTGCCACACCTTTCTCCTGTGGAGCAGCTGATGGGTTCAAGCCTTCAACCTTTCAGTTAGCAGCCATGTGCCTAACCACTGGAATTCTCATTTTATCGCTTTAAAACAGGTCATTTATTCATTTGGTAAATACGTATTTTGGAAATGTTAGTAAAAAGTTACCACTTTGTAGTAATAATAAAGAAGACAAACAATCATCCATCCTCAGGGAGCTTATAGACTAGTGAAGACAGAAATGAGAGCAATCACTTTTTTTAATGTCATGGGACAAAAACCACTGGAGAAATTGGAGTGTCACCCTTCCTTCTTTCTTCTTCCCTACCCCAAACCCAATCACTTGCAAAGTTCTCTCAATTTGGCCTACTTTATATTGCCCCCACTGACTCCTCCTCTCTAATCTCATTTTCTCTGCCTTAACTTAAGCCTCTGTCATTTCTGACTGGACTACAAACTCAGATAGCCACAGGGATCAGTCAGGTAATGCCACGAGTGAAGCAGGGCTGGCAGGTCTCTGGTATACTGGAGGACTGCCTGTGCTACCTAAGGATGCAGCTGCTGCTCAACTCCAGTCAACTGGCAATGTAGACCCAATGTTGCCAGATATTCTAATTATTTCAGGAAAAGTAAAAAAATATGTTTTTTTTAATGTGATGTCTCCCAATTTTTTAATGCTGATATCTAATTTAAAAACTGAAGCTTAACTTGATTAATCCCTAGGTATTTGATACTTTTTAAATGTTCTTGTAAATTACACCTTATTAAATTTTGATTTTCTATTTGGTAGCAGAGTGGCGTAGGGATGTTTATAAGGTGGTCTAAAAGTTACATGGAAATACAAAGAGGCAAATAGTCAAGGCAATCTTGAAGAACAACAAATTTGGAGAGCTTACACTACCTAATAACATCAAGACATTTTTTTAAAAGCACAGTAATGAAAATAGTGGGTAATGGTGCAAAGATAGATATTAAAAAAAAAAAAAAAAAGAACAGACTATAATCACATACATGATTAGTTGGTCTATGACAAAAATGACACTTATGACATGGCACGGGAAAGAAGACCCTTTTCAATAAATGGAATTGTATCAACTAGATGCCTACATCCAGAGGGAAAAAAAAAAAAACTTAAACCCTACCTCACTCTTTATAAGAAAATTAATTGTAGGTCAGCTATATTAAAATATTAAAAGACTAAATTGTGTTATAAATGTGAAATAAATCATAGGAGAATATTTTTATAAACTTGAGGTAAACTGAGATTCCTAAACAGAATACAAAGAGCACTAAAGAAAAAAATTGATAAATTAAGTTTCATTAAAATTACAAGTCTGCTGAACAGAAGATACATTAAGAGAGTAGAAAGGTAAGCCAAAAACTGGGAGAAGATATTTGCCATACATATTCTAACAAAGGTATTGTATCCAAAACGCATAAAAACTCCTAACAATAAGAAAAAGAATCACAACTCAAATGAAAAAAATGGGCAAAGAACTTGAACAGATACTTAAGCAAAAGAGGATATCCAAATGGCCAGTGAGAGATGAAAAGGTGTTCAATATCATTAGTTATCTGGGGTATGCAAGCTGAAACCATAATGAGATACAACTACACACTCACTAGAATTGATAAAATTAAAAAGACTCACAAAACCAAGGCTGGACAAAGATGTGGAGCAATTGGAATACTCATGCACTGTTGGTGGAAGTGTAAATTAATACATCCACTTTGGAGAACTATTTTGCAGATCTACTATAGATGCCAATAAAAGGAGGAAAGATTAAAGTTTTAAAGACTTCATATTACTTTCTTCTACAATCAGCACCCATGGAAGCAGCAGTCAAGACATCAGATGACATATTACATTGGGCACATCTGCTGCAAAAGACCTCTTTCAAGTGCTGAAGAGCAGATGTCTCTTTTGAAGACGAAGGTGAACCAAGTCATGCATTTGAGAGCTGGACAACGAACAAGGAAGACTGAAGAAGAGTTGATGTTTTTGAGTTGTGGTGTTGGCAAAGAATACTGAAAGTACCATGGACTGCTGAAAGAACTAACAAATCTGTCCTGGAAGAAGTAGAGCCAGAATGCTTCCTCCTTGGAAGTGAGAATGGCCAGACTTCAACTCACCTCCTTTGGGCATGCTGTCAGAAGGGACTATTCTCTGGAGAAGGATATCATGCTTGGTAAAGTGGAGGGTCAGCGAAAAGGGGGAAGGCCCTCAACAAGGTGGATTGACACAGTGGCTGCAATGATGGGATCAGGTATAGCGAAGATTGTGAGGCTGGCACAGGAAGGGGCAGTGTTTCATTCAGCTGTATATAGTGTCGCTATGAGTCAGAGACGACTTGACAGCATCTAACAACAACAATAACACCAACACTATAGATGATCATGCCTTCTACACCAGAAGTTCTACCTCTAGGAGTATACCAGGCATGTATAAGAATATTCGTAGTAGCTCTATTTGTAATGGCCCAAAAACTCTGGGGGAGGGAAGCAAATCTTTAGAAACAGTTGTTGTTAGGTACTCTCAAGTCAATTCCAACACAGTAATCCCATGTGACTGCACCATGGGGTTTTCAAGACTGTAGTCTTTACAGATTGATAGGTCCTTACTCCCACGGAGCAGCTGGGTGGGTTCTAACTGCCAAACTTCCGGTTAGCAGCCAAACACTTAACCATTAATAAATTGCAGTGATGTGTGATAAAGCAGAATGCTATATAGCAATTAGAATCAACAAAGTATTGGTACATGGGGCAGTGTAGATGAATCTGGCAAACACTGCTGGGCAACAGGAGTGGACACAAAAGAGTAAATCCTTTATGATTCCGTCTATATAAAATACAAAACAGGCAAATCTCAATCAATGCACCTGACATCAGAATGAGATCATCCTTGGGAGGGACTGGGACAGGACATGGGGAGCGGTGCTTCTGAGTGCTAATAATGTTTTATTTCTCCATCTGGATGCTGGCTATATGTTGTCGGTGTTGTCGAGTTGGTTCTGACTCATAGCAACCCTATGTACAACGGAACGAAACACTGCCCAGTCCTGTGCCAGCCTCACTACCACTCCTGTGTTTGAGACCATCATCACAGTCACTGGGTCAGTCTATCCCAATGAGGGCCTTCCTCTTTTTCACTGACCTTCTTCTACTTTACCCAGCATAATATCCTGGCCACATAGGTGTACTTAATTTGCAACACTCATGATTTGTGTACATGTTCTAATGTATGTTATGTTTCAATAAAATTTTGCTTATGCAAGAAATCTACCAAACTGTTATACACACACACACACACACACACACACACTATATACATACATAGAGAGAGAGAGAGAGTAAACTTTTCATTCCAGAGAAATTAACTATGGAAAAATATACTGTGCTGTTTTATTTTATCCTACCTGGTTAATGTTATCTGGAATATCTGATATCCAGCTATAAAAGAGGCCAACCTCGAAAGACTCTGTTTTCCCGAGCCACCAACACCCACCAGCAGTGCATTTCCACATGATGTTCGAATTATCCGTGAAATCTGTTTTGAAACAAAATAGTATTTATTTGAAAACAGGTTTCAATTGTTTACATTTTCTTGCACTAAATGGGTCCAAGGTTTGGCCGTGTGTTTCTAGACAACATTAGACTCTTCTTATAATTATATATCTCAAAATTGTAAAATCTAGTAATTAAAATTACAGTTTCATACTGATTTATTCAATTTAAATTCTTTCCTTGCATGTCTATATTGACATCCTGGAAAACAGAACACATTGGCTTTACCAGCTCCTATTTCAAAATTATTCTTTGTGTGTGTGTGTGATTTTATTATATTTGAACTTAATACATGTTGGAGCTATTTTTCCCAACCTGCAAACTACCCTATAAGAAGGTAGTTTAGAGTTATTTTCGTCTTATTCATCAGTATAACACACCAAATCATGTAAAAACCTAGATTTACAACAAATACTACCTGCATCTTTCTGCCAATGAAATTTT